CTTGCCCATAAATTTGGTCCAAAATCGACATTTCTTGAAATTTTCCTCGAAAAATAGACTTTTGTATGAGAAATCACACAGAAAGCCATTTTTTAGAGTTTTGGTCAAAGCAAACTGATGTTTTTTTGCAAAAATAATGGGAGTCTGTGAACAACCGAACACCTTCTTGCCCATAAATTTGGTCCAAAATCGACATTTCTTGAAATTTTCCTCGAAAAATAGACTTTTGTATAAAAAATCACTCAGAAAGCCATTTTTTAGGGTTTTGGTCAAAGCAAACTGATATTTTTTTGCAAAAATATTGGGAGCCTTCAAACAACCGAACACCGAATAAATTTGGTCCGAAATCAACATTTCTTGAAATTTTTGAAATTTGGTTCGAAAATGACACTTTTGTATGGAAAATGGTCGAAATAGTTATATTTTAAGGTCAAAAATGCTATGAAAAAAGGGTCCATTGAAATTTTGGTTAAACATTAAGCGGGAGGTAAACTAAATTGCTGCGGAGCGGAAAAGTTTGGATTACGTATGTAATTCGTTTTATTTTTAAATAGTTTTCATACCAAACTGTAGACGTCTGTCATGTGTAGAAAAAAAAATCATACGTTGTGTTTACATTGTACCGCATTTTTATCGTAGAGTCATTGTTTTAGCGTTTTTTTTTCTCATTTCCAACCATACGACATGCATGAACGTTACATTCATTCAACAACATTAATAAGCACGTTTTGCATCATTTAAAACTGACGACATTTTTGGTTCGAAAATACTGTAATGTTCTAAATGTGCATTATTCCCAATTATGATTTCCGAATGAAAGATTCATTAAAACGGTCTCTGCACTGCCATTTATTTTGACGACGAAAACGACGACAACTACGATGACTGAGGGTGACAACGGCGGCAAAACCGTTATCACCTGACTTATGCTATAGGCGTAAAACTTGTGCTACATTCTCAAGGCGTTTGTCACTTTTTGTCAGTCTCGTATCATTATCATTTGGACCTTTAATCACCATGCCGCTGTTTTATATTTTTGAATGCCATGATAATGCCTCACTTATTTTTTTTTTTAACTCATCATCAATTTCTATTTTGAATTCACTGTTTTTTGTTCACTGAATTTCTGTTTCAAAATAGTACTCTTAGCTTAGCCAAAATTTGATCAGTTGCTTTGTCTTTTTTTTTCAAATGTTTTTAATTGACCATTCGTGGTTGTCGCTGTCTTATTCCTCTGAATTCAACTGAATTGAGACATGTGTTCTTTGCATGTGGAACACACATGAATCATTTATTAAAACTGCTGAACGTTCGAATTGTTCAAAATTCAAACTTCAGCTCGGTGTTTGCATAAAACTTGGAATGTCTCCACCATTTCAATAGTGAATTTGAATAAACAAAATCAAAACGGACTTTTTATAGAATGCGTTGATTGAATCGATTTGCATTGGAAAATGTCACAGAGTTTTTTTAGTTTCCGACAAAGAGGGAGAGAGTGAGAGAAGTGCCGTCTCCTCAAAATTCAGAACCAATAAATATTCTTTTTTATCATTTCACATGTTTTCTAATGTAAACAGTGTTTTTTTCTATCGGAAGAGAATGCAAAACACACACACAAAAAAAACATTTCTACGGAAATCAAACGGCGAATCGCAACTAGTTCACAATTCTATTTTTATAAACAACGACATGATTGCAGGTGAATAACACACCATCGCATGAAACACTCACTCGATGCACGTCGATGATCGGGCATTCAATAAAAAAACACAAAAAAACACAGGAAAAACTGTTAAGAGCGATAGCAGAAGAGTGAAAAAAAAAACTGTCACACGATGTGAATGAAAATGGGGAATTTGCGTTAAAAGGTCATTAAAAATCACTTGGTCCACTTGGTTGACGTGAATACTTAATGAATTGATTTTTGATTTTGCATTTTTTTTGGTCGTTAACATAGTGTGTAATGAGAGGGCAAGTTTGGGATAATGCACTTCATTGCAAAACCATCCATTTACCTCAATTTAACAACCAGATGGAGTGCGAACGGACGGACGACTGGGATTGAGAAAGAACGAGAACGAGAGATGTTTGATGTGCACTAGTGAAATTAAAAATGTCGTTGACAGAATTAGTAGCAACAAACGAAACCGATATTCCGTCGGTTGACTATGCGGCCCGCCAATAAAATTGTATACGAAAGTCAGATTGATCGCGAACGGTTTGTAATTGACAACGTACGTAAAAGACCACATGTTTTGTACTGAATGAATGAATGACAGGCATTGGGCTATTTTTCATCGTAAATACAATTGTACATTTTTGCCTGTGTTTGTGTTTTTTTTGTGTTCAACATGCTCGCGACTCATTCGAATTTGGTGAGACGGTGTATCGTTAACGCGTTGGATCCAACGTTCTATTTGGTTTAAAAAAAATCGGCGTCTTATACGACGGAGTCGTCTTGTGATGTGATCAGTGTGCAGCATCGAATCTGTTCCGTGTTCGGAATTGGTGACCCGTTGATACTGATTTCGGCCGACTGTATGTGTCGTCGTCGTCGTCGTCGTCGTGGTGATGCTGCGATAGCAAATGAGGCGCGCAAGCAAACGTGCGCGCACGAATCAAACTTTTTCTTATTTGGCTCTGAATACCATCATCACATCGTTCTATGCACCCGTACGCACTACTCGCATACGTACGCAAAGTACCGTAACGCGATATACCGTACCAAATGCGATGAAATGTATATATTACCTCATTCACATCTCCATGTACACATGCAAACATTCTCACCAAAAATAAACTTAAGAGTCGCAATGTTACTTTCTTCTTCTTCTTCTTGCTTGCTTGCTCGATTCGTGCGGCTGGTCTTTCTTTTTGTCGTGACAGATGTTGTTTGTTGTGTGCGCCTAAATAGCAATGTCGCTTTCAAGATCTCTCGAAAATTCGAACGCACTTCAAATGTAGTTAGTCGTCGTTAATCCGACCGAAAGGCAAATAATCTAACAAGTGATTGAGTACATCTCATTACAAATTACCGATTCTGCAATCGAAGTTTGCTTATTTCGAGTGCTAAACAGACAGGTTTTTTTTTCGCTGAATGTCAAAATGCTGAGAGAGGGAGTGAGAGGGAGTGAGAGGGAGAGAGAGAGAAGCATCAGCCAAAATGAACTCAAACGAATGACCCATTCCAATCGTCATTTTGAAGCAAACCACAATACCGAACCCGAACTTGTCCGATTGTGCAATGCCACAACTATTCACACCATCGATGAATACGAACATATATTTATTTTCATGTCTCTCCCACTAATCGCAATGAATCAGCATTTATGGAAAGCGCGTTTGGACTACAATTTATGTGACCCATTGCAAAGTACGAGGCGAGCACGCACACACACACATACGCAAATAAACATGAACACGCCAACCGCTGGCCTGTGTGGTACGTAGGAAAGAAAAGAAAACAAAAGAAAAGAAAAATGTAAGAAAGAATAAAACGAAAAATGCGCTCCATTGCCATAAAATAACCCAAACGAGCTGATTGCCCAACCACTGACTTCTTGATTTTTTTTAAATTTTACGACAACATAAGACAATAAAATCCCATATTTATGACGGCTAGACCATATTCTTGTGAAAATCTGTTTGTCATGCAAGAATCATCGTACGAAACAAAGAGAGAAAAAAATCACAAATAAATAGAATGAAAATATCCGAAGACTATTTTGTGAATACTTTAACGCCATATTCAGCATTCAGCGGGCAGTTAGTGGAAAATAGGTGAAAAATTCCAACGAAATCAAATCAGTTTAATCGATATGGACTAACTGTAGTTGGTCGACGGTGTAGAACGCACATTCAAATTCCATTAACACAAATGAGAAACAATGGGCCATTTCAAAGCATTAGGTCAGTTTTGTCGTTTTGGCAATTTTATTGAATGTGTATTTGTGTATGATCACCGGAATTAAGCCAAAAAGGATTTACTTATATATGATTTACAATGAAGAAGATCGACAAGAGAGTATTGGAATGAACATTGAGGTCGCCTTCGTTAGTTGCCGCTTCAAATTCCAATCATATTCATGGAAATGGCGAAATGGGGCCTCCCAAAAATTTAATACCATACTTATAAATTCCATAGCCCATCCGATGTTATTGTGTATCCAATGCACACACATACAGAGACCACTTGTCGCAGTCCATCCCATTCATTTGGTAGTATTTTAATCAAATGCCGACAAATAATGATTAGAATATATCGAACCATTAGCTAGGATAACGGAAGCAGCAGCAACTACAACAAACAGTGTCGAATGTTCATCGCAATCAACATGAGATGATGTCATTTAAGTAGTTTAACATTCGATTGGAAAGTGACTCTTGCAAAATGTGGCTTTTCTCGCGACGTACGCGACTGTTAATTACTGATAAATTTGATTCCGGATTTGTTGATATTTGCATTTGGATTACAGAATGATAATGGAAAACTTTGTTGAAAACTTGAACAAACTCGTAAAGTTAACGGCAAACTTCATTAATACACACACACACACACACACACACACACACACACACATTCGCAGTGCATCCGCTTTTTTGCTCCATCGTCGTCGTCGTCGTTCTCGTCGGCATCGTGTGCATCGCATATTCATCAAACAATTTTCGGTTGTGTATATTGCGCGCACCCCGAACCCAGACCTCATGTTCAACTGATTCAACTGTTATTATATCGGAAGCGCCAAAAGCAAAACTGCTCTCCGATTTTCATCGTGGAAATAATCAAATTGACCTCATTGCATTCGAGCAGGATGTCTCGAAATTGTATCAAAGGCTTTGCAAAACAACAGAACAACGACACATTTGGTAGACAAAGCGAGTTGGAGAGAGGGGTGACGGAGCAGAGTAGGATGAGAAAATGGGAAAAGAGGAAATTTTCTGTCATTGTAAGCAAGCAAAACTATACACTAGCTCAGCGCTTTCGTCATCCAAAAGTAATTAGGATATGGTTCTAGTTTTGGATTTCGATGCAACACACACACTGGTACCATCCCCACATACATACACATAACACTTACACTTAAACAGAGAGCTACCCCAAATGAGACTTTTCTCGAAATGACAAAAGGGCGTTCGTTTTTAGAAAAGTTAACGCAAATGTGCATGAATATAATCACTCTGGAACATTATAATGTTCGAGCGCAGGCAAATTATATGAATTTTGTATTAGCCAGTTATTCAGCATTGGGCCATGATGAGTAAAAATGAACATGAAGGTGTGCATAACATGTAATCGCTTCTGCGGCATAACGGCCAAGTGTTAACATTTGTTTTTGTTTGACAGTGATGTGGTTCGGTATGTAATCGTAATGACATGCTGCATGACAAAAGGGCGAGAGAGAGAGAGATAAAGAGAGAGAGAGAGAGAAAGAGAAACAGGCCGAGACAGAGCACGTTGCTCAAATCCAAATGCAAGAGACGGAGTAAGAGAGGGCCATGGCACATGTTTACAAAGAGAGGCTGGCACAGAAGAAGCAGTGCACGTACATTCCAAGAATAGCAAACTTTATGCGAAAGGAGAAAGATTTTGTGATTCTTGTCATTTTCACAAGGGGATTTGAGCCGGTTTCCGGAATTCAGATCTAAAAAATTCATTGGAAAATCAACGGTGCAAATCAGTTTGGGCGAACCATCAACGAATGTGTCGGCACTGTTTTACACGCAAAATTCACAACAACAACAAAATGACAAAGAGAAATAAAACGAAAGCAAAGATGAAATCACTATAAAATTTCAAGACAAGAGTAACCAATGCAATGGAGTTCAATATCAGAGAACATTGATTCACACGCTTTTTTTATTGCAGTTCATGCGGAAGATACATGTTCTAGAAAGTTATTGCTGTAGTTGCTGTAGTTGCTGCTGAAAATGTGTGACCTATCAACATCGACAATTTCCAGCCGATCGAAATGTGTTCGTTTTCAGGTAGTAAATATTAGTTGCTATCTTCATGTCAAACATCCTATAGCCATAAGAGAAATTGAATGCGACCGTGTGTCGATCGATGACGGTGTGTATGTGTGTTACACTTTTTCGAGTACAAGTGCACGCACGCACATCATCATCATGATTGTCATCGTCGTTGTCGTTGTCGTCGTCGTGGTCGTCATTGTGGATGTACTCATTGGGTTTTCGCAAGCACTGAAATTTCATTCCAAATCATGAGATAAAAATAGAAAATATGCGTGTGACAGACAAAAAAAAGAAACAAAAACCGATTTCCTCTTTCCCGAAAATTCAAATGGTTGCTTCTTTTATTTACACCGTGCACTAGCGCACACAAACACTCTTTCCGATTTCGGAGCAAAATGAAAGCGAGCGAGCGAGAGAAGGAGAGAAAAAGAGATTTGCTTGCGTATTACGAAGAACTGGAATCAATCTGCTCCAAAAAGCGAAGCACATAAGACATCAAACAGCAGTCAGCACTAATCATTCTGGATGTGCATGTGTTATTTCTATTTAGAATTTCAAGCGTATTCTATATTATACGATTATGTACGGTTTTATGTGATTCCGTGGTACTTGAAGATACAGTCGCACCATCAAAATGTGGTTGCGTTTGGTGCGCTCGTGCCTGTGTACGTGTGACGTTTCCATTGACACTCTGGTTTTGCTCGCTCACTCTATCGCTGGCACATCGGCTACTGGAACACGGGCCATCATGTCTATAAGGTAGCAAAACACCCGAGCTCGTTTCAACGTATTCGAACGTACACTGACACAAACACATCCCCGCCCATATTAAATGAGCTCACTCTCTTTCACTCTCGCATTCTCTGCTCGTCGTGAATTCGCTGCATACACATTTTACTTTTATTTGTTTTCTTTTCGTTCGTTCGTTGGTTGGTTGGCTGGTTCTTCTATTCCCACTTATGTTTCCCAGTTTTTTTCTTCCAGTTTGAAGAAAGAAAAAAACAAAGAACAAATAAAACGACACAAGATGTTTCAAAATTTTCTTTCTAGAGTAAAGTCGAGAGCAAGTGAACGAGAGTGAGAGAGATAAATTCGTTATTACTGAAACATTCGTGTTTATTAATTATACATAATGTATACAATTACTCTGTTTGAATTCTTGCACCCTCTTACTAATATATGAGTTGAGAGATGCGTACCGTTCAGCAG